TGACAACACCAAGTCAAGGGTTGAGATCCCCTTACCGGTCATCTTTTAAAAAAAAAAATAAAAATAAATAAATAAATAAAATATATTTTTTAATAAGCAAGTTATAGTACAGAATATAGGACACAATCTCCTTTTTTTTGTTCTTTGTTAGTTTTAAACAGCAATATGTTTGTATTCACACAGAAATTTTCTAAAAGGATAGTGAAAGAAATCTCTAGTTTTAATTCTGGGAAATGGACATAGGAAAGAAAAGCTTTCACTTTATTCACTCATTTAAATTTAACTGGTAAGTATATTACTTTCATAATAGAGAGAAAAAAACTGATGCTACCTGTGTAATCTAATGCCCATCCTACCTTTCTAACTATCTCCCAGTCACCCCACCTTTTTAACTAAATCTCTTCTCTCCATCAATCAATCTTGTCCCCATCCACTGGAATATAGCTCACTCCTACCCTCTTATTTGCCTTCGCTCACACACTAACTATACCTAGAGAAACTTCTCCCCCATTTAGAATTTTGCTTATTCTTCCACCTCTAGGTCTCTTTAACCCTGCCAGGCTACAGTCACTGTGGCTACTCTGAACCTGAAGCTCCAAAGCAGACACTGCTATGGCACCTGCTGCTTTCTACTGTGTGCCCTCCTTGAGGGTGGCTGCTGTGTCCTACTTCTCCCTAGCTGCCACAGTAGTTGGTACAGTACCCTCACACAGCAGGTGCTCAATAAACAGACTAGCCATAGCTACCCTGAGGTACTACAGTACTAAATTCAATATTTAATTATATTCACTCAATTATTGTTATTCTAAGGCAAGAAAATGAATACATGTTCGATGGCTTGTCAGCAAAAAAAGGAATTTCTACTCAAGCTAAGTTTACTCTAGAATTCTACTAGAGTTGAACCAGATCAACTTACTTCTGGCATTTTCTTGTTACTTAAGGCTTTACTGTTTGATATTTGACTTGACTGGCACTGAAAGGTCATTCGTTTAAAGGCAAGCTTACTTGTATAACAAACTTCACACAAGATTAAAATGAGCAGGGAAGTTTTGCTAAGACATT